TGGAGGGAGACGATGCTTCCTCCGCGCTGTCCACGAGCAGAAAGCTCTATAATATTTTTAATTGCAAAGAAATAAGTTCTAAATAACTACTAAAATAGCCACCAACATTTTCCACATAGTTGTATTTATTTATTTTACCACTGCAACAGAGTTCTGGTGTGATGCTATAGGATAAGCCCTGGACTACTAACTGAAAGATTGGCAGTTCAAATCCACCAGCTACTCCTTGGAAACTTTATACAGGTCACTGTGAGTTGGAATGGACTCAGTGGCACTTAACACCAAGATGGGAAAGAAAAAAAGTAAATCTAAACATTCAGCAACATTTTATCATATGATTTCATTTAGAAGTATTATTTCTGTATAGACTATTGGAGACTTTTATATTTGTATAAAAAAGAAAATGTTTTCGCCTAAGAAAAGAATAGGCACTGTTAATAGCTATACATATTTCTTTTAGTTCTTTTTTAAATGAATGGAATTTCTCTTGTTCTTGGTTATTTTGAATATTATGTCATGTAACTTTATAATATGCATCATTCTATAATATGTAGCATAGTGGTTACGAATTGGGCTGCGAGCCGCAAGGTCAGTAGTTCGAAACTACCAGCGGTTCCGCGGGAGAAAGATGAGGCGGTCTGCTCCCGTAAAGATTTACAGCCTTGGAAACCCTGTGAAGGGTAGCTATGAGTCGGAACCGACTCCACAGCACATCACAACAACAACAACATAATATGTAAGCAAAACGTTCATACTTCAAATATATTCATCATATAATTCCTCTTTCCTTCCAATCTACCACATATCAGAAAAGGCTTTAAAATGTTTTATTTTTAAATTTATTTCTATATTGTTGTTGTTATTAAGTGCCCTTGAGTTGGTTCCTACTCATAGTAACCCTATCTGTATAGAATTTTCAAGATCAGCTGCCTGGTTTGAACCACCAAATCATGGACCTTGCAGTTCGCAGTTCAGTGTTTATCCTAATTAAATTTTGTGTAACCACATGGTTAAATTTGGTTTCTTTTCTCCATTTCTGAGAACTTTTTTTTTTAACTTTTTTATTGTTATTCAGGTGAAAGTTTTCATAGAAAATTAATTGCCCACTCAACAATTCATTCACATTTTGTCTTACTAACTATGAGACATTGACTGTAGTTTCCACAATATAAAAGCATTCTTCCCACTTTCTTCCTGTGATTAACCATTTCCATCTCCCTTCTTTCCTATCCCTTCTTGGTTTCTGAGCTTTAATTTTGGGCAAATGTTGCCCTTTTGATCTTGAATAGTTGGTTGCTAAAATAGTTCTTTTTGGTTTTTTTTCATCAAGAGTGAGGTTTTCTTTATTTGATTTTGCAAAATTGGGCACCCAACCCAATAGACTTGGTGAGATGTGCTGCATGGGTGGCCCGCAAACAGTTTTGTTCCCCTGTCTTGATAAAGCCCTTCTTCCAGTTCCACAGTCTAGCCTACGTGGCACTGATGATCTCAATGACTGTATTCTTGCTTAAAGTTCCTAGTCCTAAAACAGATTTCTTTCCTCCCTTCCCCCAATTTATCCTGCTTACATATCCCTGGGTGTGACTTAACAGTCTATGTCTGGTCTAGTAATCTCATGCACCCTTTATTCCTGAAGATGGACTATCATGAGAATTTCTCACAAATCTTCCTCTTTTTTCTTTACACTTATTGGTCTCATCTTCATTTATTCTTCTTAAATCCTCAAAAAGTATATCATTGCTGGATGTCCCTAAAAGTAGAGCTCACTATGCCTATATTAGGTTGCATCATACTTGTGCCTGACATGAAATAATTAAAACATGTACAACTGAAAACACACCAGCCCCATTTTTCTCTTGTATTTCACAAATGAACAAAGTAGAAATATCTGATGCACACATAAATGTCAAAAAGCCAGTCTCCAGTCCTAGGCACACAGCCTCATTCAGTCCCTGAGCCTAGAGTCCATAGCTTCTCCATCTTTCCCTGCTGTTGCCTCAACCACTATCTCTTGTCATTGCGTCTTTGGGCAGGGATCCCAAGCTCCACTCATGATCTACCTTCTTAATGGTCCTGGGATTGTCCATTCCCGAAAGAAAAGATAACTACTCCCTCCTTTTAGCTACACATCTTAGTCCAGTTTTCTCACTTTGGCCTGTGAATGGATTGCCTAGTTGCCACAGTTAATCTGTTCTCAATCCTTCATGTGTCTCTCACTAATTCTCTCTTTTAACAGTCTCAGGTTTTTTTCTGGCTCTCGCTGAGAGGGATCACCCTTGAGAATAGGCCGCTGAAATCAAGATGGGATGCATCTTCTTTTCCACCAGGGCTGCCACACCAAGAGGGCAGAAAATCCTGAGGAGCCCTTAAATGTTGTCAATACTGACAAAAGCTCAAGAAATCCAACCTGTACTAATTTTAGCAAGAGTGAGAGTTTCTTTATTTGATTTTGCAAAATTGGGTTCCCAAGTCAGTAGACATGGGTAGACAATAAAATAGTTCTTTATAGCTGTTTTATTATATAATATTGTTAATTGCTAAAAATAACTAGTAAACACTACCAAAATATCTACTATCTTTCTTTTTTTACTTAGTTGTTTATTACCAGTGTTGTGTGAATGAAAAATGTAAATCCAAATATTCAGCAACAATTCTATAACAAAGTTGATTTCAGAGTCAAATTAGGAGCAAAAATATTGCTCTTATTAATGATACTTTTAATGCGGAACTTCCTACTGGAAACTACCTAAAATAAAAATAAATTTTAAAAAACTTTAAAATTGCTTCCTCTTCAAACTGAAAAGTGGTTCTTTTGTAAATGTACACACCACTGGTTTTAGTGGGATTGATCTAGACAGTATCTTTTTGGCAGATGCCATTAAATCTGGAATTACAGTCTTCTGAATACACTTGACTTCCCGTCATGATGGCACAACTCTTCTCATCAGTTGGTCCAATCACCAAAAACCTAAGGGAGATAAAGGATAGATTTTGAGTATTTATCATAAACTTATCTTTTAAGGCTCCCTCCAGCCAAGCTTACAAAGATGCTTCTTTAGAAGTCACGATATGTCAAAGTTTTTAAATGGACCATACTTTTGTTGCTAATGATTGCATTGGGGTACTCTGATTTTCCCCTAAGCCTCTCCTCTCCTATCTTAGTAACTGCACTGTAGAAGCTTATACTAGAAGACTAGGTGTTATCATGGCTTCTTCCTTCCATCTCCACCCTAACATGTTATACCAGCAAGCCCTAGCAATTCTATCTCTTGATTACCTTTCATATCCAATCACTTTCTGCCATCTCTTCTGCTCTTTTCTAGGCCAGACTATCATTGTAACTCCCTTGAACTGTGACCAAACTGACATTCACAGTGTTAATTTTGCTTCCCATCCATTCTTTTTTCCACATAGCAGCAAATCTAATTTTCTTTAACAGATAATTAGATGTTGTGGTATCATTCATTATTTATTTAGTAACTCTCGTCTAGCTTTTGTCTCTAACTCCCAGCAAATGATTCTGTTCCTAATGGACCTGGGTATGAGAAGATGTGGAAAGATACTAATAGGATAACCAGATTCCATTGTAAATGATAATTTAAAAAGTTAATTGTGATTGTTAAACTTGGAACTCTAACATGGCTAGAAGATGAACCATCCAGGAAGCAGTAGGGGAGATCTCACACCATTACAGAAGAAGAGCCAGGAATGGAGTATGCCCTTTGGACCCAGAGATTCCTATGCATTGAACCTCTTCAATCCAGGGATAGAAAGCTGTGGAACAGGAGGAGTAACAGAGAAGTAGCAGAGGAGGAACAGCAGAAGAACCAAGAGCTCGGGCACTTGTCAGAGCAGTGGGTTTCTCAATCCATGGAGCAAATAAAACTGAGTGACTTTGAGCAGGACTCTTACTTATAGAGTGGGGTACCACCAAGCAATAATTGGGAGAGCTAGAGCCTAATACCTTCAAGCTGAGGCTTATTGTGGAGTGCTGTGTTCTGTGGGCATTTATCAGAAGGCCTAAAAGAGCTTTGTAACATTTGCCAACCAGAGAGAGGACTGCCTGTGGACTTGGCTTTCAAATGCATATAGCTATTGAAAACACCCTGGTTTGGGTCAAGTGCACCTTAATCCTCAGATCATATCATCAATGATATGCCTCATTCTATGTCTTCTTCTGTATCAAGATTGAATTTTTAACATTTTACTGTTGATATACTCTTTTTTTATGTTTTATTGTGAATTATGTGATAGTTTACATGGGAGAATATTAGTTTCAAAATCATCCTATCGTATATGATTTCATTGCCATGGTTACAATCCTCTCCATGCATCATCAATCAACCAAAGGGTATACCTTAAAAACCTGCCTCCCGGTCATCAGCACACAGCCCCTCTCCCTCTCTGGGTCTAAAGTCCCCAGCTGCTCTATCTCTCCACATCATCATCTCTGTCTCCAATTCTGGCATCACTGCTTCTCTGGGTAGGGTCCCACTCACCACATTTCTCCCTGATGGTTCCAGGGACCTCCCCTCCTAGACTGCAAAGTTAATCACTCCCCTCCTTACTACAAAACGTCTACTTTTACATTTTGAACCCTCACAATCAGTCCTGATAACAGTTATTCACTATTGTAACACAAGAGACCTATCTGCATTTTCTTTCATCAGCTCCACCTAGACAGATTGGATACTACTCAGTTGAGATTCTACCTTCCTCCATGCCCTCTGAATCTAGATTCCCTCTTGAAAGTTTGTAAGCCAGTCACTTCTTGCCTTTGTAGCTTCCCCAC